ACACATCGAGTTCGTAGACCATTCAGCCACTGGGACCCGATTGAATGGCTCATGAATGCTAACTTCTATATAACACAATAAAACAGTATGAATTACTGGATGACATTTCGAACAAAATTTATGGTTCATACACGTATCAACCGCATACTAGCAAAGTGTCTATGTTTTATTACTTTCTTAATGAAAGTCAAAAGACTACACATATCTTCTGTATATGACTGAGGGAAGGGATCATTTCTGACAATTATTACATGTATTTAATTCATTTGGTCGAAGTGAAAACATACAAATATACACTGCGTTGTGAGATGAATAAATAGTGCGTATTCGAGAGACTTTTTAAGCCAATTTTAAAACTGTTAGTACATGAGGAATTCAAGATGTGTGATATAATTTCGAAAATCCTGTGATAACCTAACCACCAAAATCGACAACAGTCAATATGATACCATCTAGTGGAAACTATCGGTATGATTTTGGCTATGAAGTTTAAAATGAGGCTCATAGACTCTGTGACGCAACACTGGATGAATACGATTTAAGCAATCAAATACGTATTTTCGGTAATCGAGGAGAATGTAAGTAGTATAATAATAATAATGATAAATTGTGAAACGAAGATTAAAATATACAACTTCAGCACAGAATCATATTCATTATGAAGTTAGTAGTACAAATAAAAGTAATATTTACAGTTATCCGGAATAGCTATTCCAATTCGAGGTTGAAGGCCATGGGAATGAGAGAGATTGAAGTAACGTCTACTGAATACAAAGATTGGGCCGAAAATTGCTTATGGCGACTGCCTAAGCTATGCTTATTAATCGAAGGTATACAAACTTAGGGAATTATTGAGGTGGCACCTTGTATAGAATTCTAAAGGCGGAATTCTTATCAGTCTTGTGTTCTGTATCATCAAGGCACGCTAATGTGGAACTCCCAATTGACTTTACAACCCCTTTACTTAACCACATTGGACAATGCTCAAAAAGGAGACTGTAGGTTGGCCAAGTCATTCTACCGATGACAAACAGTTGATCTGAATTTTCTAAGGAAGTGTATGTTACTGGACAAGAATCCTAGGGATGCAAAGAATGAATATCCGGAGGCTTCCAGTGATTTTTCTCAAAAACATTCACAATCATACAAAAGTATTTCCTCTTCATCAATTTCCGTCTTTGAGTTAGATTGATAAAATTTCATTATAAGTTTTAGTCTCAACTTGCTCAGTTATTGAGCACTAATCGATTTGGTTTATCAGTGCTTCATTCAGTGCATTAATTCAGGTGTTCCAACAAACTACACATTCAATGAATTCATCGATTTAGATATACTATATAAACAATATGACCTAACAAACAAATCATAACGTGAAACTTCTAATTAACTGACTTCAAGGCATTAGAAATACTCTGTCACAAAGCCTATTGAATGATTGATTTATGTGGAACGACTTATACAAGATTTTAATGAATATGTCAATATTTTAATCAGAGGTATTTTGGCAAATTGTTTCTGACCTCTCAGTTTTCTGAATCACCTGAGCCACACTGCACTGATGTTCTGGATCACTAGTAACAATATTTCATTCATAGTAAACAATGTCTTGTGTGGTATGTCAATAACTGAGAGCACATATATACAGACTATATTGTGTACTGTTCTATTCCAGACTGACATTCATTCATAATAATAGTAGAGTTCAAGGGTGCAGTAGAATATTTTCTTTAGAATCTATTTGTTTATCAGACTACCATTTTTTATTCCAGTGTTGGTTTTTAGGAATTTGATTGGTTTTTACGAGTTGATCACGGATTGATATCAGTTAGAGAACCATTGAAAACCAGGGAGTACCGGACAGCTGCTGTTTCATCCTAGTTTGGGAATCATCGGCAGTACGCACCCACTGGGATTCGAACCCAGGACCTTCCGGTTACAAGGCAAGCTCATATACCATTCAGCCACTGGGACCCGATTCAATGGCTCATGAATTCTAACTTCTACTGATTCGTGATTTAGCGTGACCCCAACCATTGTCGTGACCAGTGAGGTCCAATTAGATGTCACGTGTGTGGATGGATGTCCCACCAACGAGAATGGTTGGGGTCGGGCTAAATCACGAATCAGTAGAAGTTAGAATTCATCAGCCATTGAATCGGGTCCCAGTGGCTGAATGGTATATGAGCTTGCCTTGTAACCGGAAGGTCCTGGGTTCGAATCCCAGTGGTTGCGGACTGCCGATGATTACCAAACTAGGATGAAACAGCAGCTGTTCAGTACTCCCTGAAGGTTTTCCAATTGTTCTCTAACTGATATCAATCCGTGATCAACTCGTAAAAACATAACAAACCCTTACAAACCAAACTATAGAAAATTTGATTGGTTACAGGATTACATCATGAACTGACATCGGTTAGAAAACCATTGGAAAACCTGCAGGGAGTACTGGAGAGCAGTTTCGTCAGCCTAGTTTGGAAATCTTCATCAGCACGCACCCACCATCACGGTTCGAACCCACGACCTTCCGATTACAAGGCAGGCTCGTAGACCATTGAACCACTGTCCATGAATTCCAACTTCTGCTAATTCGCGATATAGTGCAGCCTCTGGCGAATGTTATCGCTGGCGAGTATTCATGCTCACATCTGAAGGTCCTGGGTGCTCATCCCAGTGGCTGATTACCGCTGAAGACCCATAAACCAAGGGGAAACAGCTTTTCAGTACTTCCAATGGTTCTCTAACCAGTGATGGCTCATGATGAAATCCTGTTACCATTTCTTTAAATTATACTTCTTCATTAGACATATCATGTGCTCAAATATCAGCGTTGTTGTTTAAAAAAAAGATAAAAGAAATTGTTCAGATTATTTTAGCTATAAATCAAAAACTTCGTGTGATAAGACTTGTTTTCCTTCTCAACCGATTTATTATTGAAAATTTATTTTGACTAGAAACAATTATTTGTGCCACAATCTTAAGTAAACAAATAAAATTGTACAACTCTGTACTGTATAAATAAAATTATGCTTATATGAAAAATAACTTTTAATTAATTCCATAAAATATTGATTAGGAGTAACTAATGATACGAAGCATATTGCACGTCTATTCAAGAAAATTAATAAACTAGGGTTTGAATAAAATTATCTCAGTGTACTTCAAAGGTTTAGCAAGAAAGATGTTAGCTGCAACACTAACCAGATTTAACAGAATAGTTGTAAAATATTTGGGTGCCGAGTGAGAAGTATTGACGACAGTTCATTTGAATTATTGTGCAATCGAATTAAATTAACAAAGAAACTGTATAATTGGAACAATCATCGTGTTTTCACTCTACGTTGTCTGGAACAAAATGCACATCCTAAATCCGTAGCTGTCGAGTCACCTGACAACTCCGGTAGGTCGAATGAAGCGGCTCAATCTTCAGAAAGAAGACAAAGCAATAAGTCCGACAGGGTGCTTCTACTAAACTCTAATCCTAAACACCATAATTTTGAAAATACGTCTAATCATAAAATTCTAGATACTAACAGTTTGAACGGACATGAAGGCATGATGTTAGCTGATGCATAGGAAATCCTTATTAATAAATAAAAAATGGATATGTATCACTAATTATTAATACTTGGTTAAAATTCTCGACTGTCCATATCTTCTTATGGAGACGTTAAGAAATGTTTTACAACTGTTTACCCACACACACATACACACTCTGTTTAAAGTGTTTAACAAAGATAGACCAATATTTGTAATTCCGAGGTCAAATTTTGATCACAGCTCATAAAAATTTTGTTTACTATACTTGTTGATACTTTTTGAATGACTCATGATTGGACAAAGTTTTTTAAAAACAAGTGATGTTCCTTTTACATATAAACCTCTGTTATGTTAATTTCGATTAATTTCCCTGAAGAAGTTGGGACCGGATTTCCGAACGAAACATTGGAATTACTCATTTCAATCTCGCTGAGATTTTACAAATATAATTTTTTACAAATGTCTACTTTTCACTCGCCGCCCAAATATTTTAGCACTATACTGTCAAATCTTGACGACAGTTCATTTGAATTTTTACCTTTGTAACATAAAAAGAAAACAAAATTATTCAGAATAAGGTTTCAAATGAGAAATTTATGTTAGAAGAATATGGGAAAGTCGATCATAGAAGGAATAATCATGCAGTAAAAAGATAAATCCATCATTTTGTGAACCCCTTTCACAGTTAGGTTCATTTGTCTGACCACAAAGGCAGCAAAAGGTCTTTTGTAAAAAAAATTATATTTGTACAGTCTCAGCGAGATTGAAATGAGTAATTCCAATGTTTCGTTCGGAAATCTGGTCCGAACTTCTTCAGGGAAATTAATCGAAATTAACATAACAGAGGTTTATATATAAAAGGAACATCACTTGTTTTTAAAAAACTTTGTCCAATCATGAGTCATTCAACAAGTATAGTAAACAAAATTTTATGAGCTGTGATCAAAATTTGACCTCGGACTTACAAATATTGGTCTATCTTTGTTAAACACTTTAAACAGAGTGTGTATGTGTGTGTGGGTAAACAGTTGTAAAACATTTCTTAACGTCTCCATAAGAAGATATGGACAGTCGAGAATTTTAACCAAGTATTAATAATTAGTGATACATATCCATTTTTTATTTATTAATAAGGATTTCCTATGCATCAGCTAACATCATGCCTTCATGTCTGTTCAAACTGTTAGTATCTAGAATTTTATGATTAGACGTATTTTCAAAATAATGGTGTTTAGGATTAACGTTTAGTAGCAAAAGGTCACCTAGATTTGTAATAAAAATAAACATGGACCTTGATGTCTGAAAGAGGCGACTTCAACACCAATAACACTAAGATATGAATAATTTTATGGCCACCACTAATACTCATTCAAAAGAAGCATGTTTCACCTTTCAGTCTGACTCATCAATTCTTTCTATAGGATTTACTATCTTCATTTATTGATTACATTTTAATTTTACGCTATTTATACCAAGATTATCTTCCCCGATATCCAAAAAAGTTTATTTTATTGTATAGGTGAACTTGAACCACTGGAAGAATTATTTTGAAGGTGTTTTACATTCGCAGTGGTAATCAGTATGTGGAAAAAGTCTTTTCTTCGAAGTTTATACTCACTTGAAGAGTGATAAGGCAGTATTTAAGTATACAGTATATCAACTATGTGGTCTTATAGTCTATAGTTATCCACTGTCATGTGTTCAACTGAAATATATAGTGTGATATGTTGTTTAAAAATTCGCTAAATCGATAATTAAAATATTCTGTAATATATTTACTTGCATGACTAGCTAATACACAGTAGCATTGAAGAAAAAAAATATTCTATGCATACTTTGTCAAAAGAACTCGAATCAAGTCTAGAAAGACATACTAGATTTACAGAAACACAAATTGGAGCTTTAGTTTTTCATGATCATAATGATCAAAAATATTATCGTAACTATCAATTTGACGTGGATATGGATATTGTACGTCGTTTTGTAACTCGAAATCTTTGCGGAGAATATCCTCCAGTAACTTTACGTTATTTTGCACAGAATTGGCCTGAACTCTGTATAATAGTAAGTGAATAGTGTGCTTTGTAAATTAAAAAAAATTAACACTTTTTGCTTTTAAAATCCTACCTTGTGATAGTTGGGAATTTTAATTTAACATTCACTGATTATGAGAAGTTAGCTAATGTGATAAGTCAAAATGATAGGAAAACCCAGATGAAATTTCGGTATACTAATAAATTATTCTTCAAATATGATTGAAATTCGCTATGCATATATTTAATGCCTATTAGTATGTCTCATCTGGTGGTTAGGTGGACAGCAATACAAAAGTTTGCTCAGAAGTTACTGAATATACAATGTAGAAGAGATTCAGGTGAACGATGTACACTTACGAATTCTTAAGCGAATATGGTCTTGTATAGCTATCGGAAGTATGGACTGAAAATGTAAAAAAGCTATTTAAATCAGTAGGGTGCAGCATGTCGGGTGTGAGGACAAATACTCACCGAAGACACTGGCTACCGGTCGCGCTATATCGTGCATTGGCAGAAGTTGGAATTCATGGACAGGCCATTGGATCGGGTCCCAGTGGCTTAATCGTCTACGCGTTCGCCTTGTAACCAGGAGGTCATGGGTCCGAACGGTAGTGGTGGGTGCGTACACCTGAAGAGCCCCACCCTAGGCTGACGACAAAGCTGTCCGGTACTCCCAGGTTATCCAATGGTTCTCTAACCAATGTCACCTCATGATGAAATCCTGTAACCAATCAAATCCCTACAAAGCAACACTTGAGTAAATCAGAAATATTGAACTTCTGTGATGTCAATGCAAATATTTAATGTTCCGTATTAACAATTATATGAGTAGCTAAGTGCATCTACCGAATACTCTAGCTAGCCCTCTACATTAACAATAGTTCATCATTTTCTCTGATTATGGAATTACAATAAAAAAGGGGCATCAAATGAGAAAATGATCAGCTGGAATAATAATGAGAACATAGAAAACCGACCAATCTCGACTATATCATCAGTGGCTGATGATGTTATGACCTAATTATACTTATGTAAGTCAGAGTGAGTCGGTGGTTTAGTGTTGGGGCACTAACCAACCATGAAAATGTTCCAGGGTTCGACTACCGGTCGACGCACGCTCAAACCTCTGTTAACCGATAAAGAGGCAAGATTGGGTTCAAGGCCAGCAACGCTTCCCCGTAGTAGGAAACACCAGTGCTTCTGAAACTTCAAAACTGAAGCTGAAAGCCCTAAATTCCCCTGAGAACACAAAGAAATAAAATAATAACAATAATGTAATTCAGAACAGAATTTGAAGTGAAATTGATCAAGTAACTTAACACACTTGTGTATTTCCTACATTAAAAACTCGTGTTTTATAGATACAAAATAATTCAGAACATACTACTCAACCCTTATAATTGTTTCCAATGTCTCAGTGACGTCAGTAGTAACGTGTGCTAACATAAACAAGCTATTTATTTATTCTATGCTAGCATCAGGTCGACAACAGACTAATAAGAATTAATGCAGTTCCATATTAGTTTGTTTATTAGATATATCACAGTGAAACAGTATTATTTACTGGATGACGTTTCGAACAAAATTTATTGTTCATAATCATATCAATTGTGATCACACGACTTTGAAACTTGAGTTTTATAGTTTTCTCCTATTTGTCGTAGGGGTAGTAGAACTTTCCAGATATCTGGGACAGGTGATGAATCATTCCTATTACATGTATTTGCAGTTGATTCGATAAACAAAGCTTCTGTTATCAATCTCTCCCTACACCCTGTGACATTAGATTTTAAAACTTTCATCCTATCCCATTCTATTGAATGGTTGTGTGTAACTGCATGTAGTGCTATAGCTGAAGTATTCTCTAGATTTCTTATCTTATTCGGATCAACCAATCTAGATTTTGCTGCTAGGTTTTTATGTTCAGCTAGTCTCACTGCCCCTGTTCTACTAGTTTGACCTATATATTTGACCTGACAGTCATTACAGGGTATTAGATAAACTAAATTGTTTGTGTTTTCTAAATTGTTTTGTTTTAAATAATTAATGCAACTTTACATAAAACGACATAGTCAAACAAAGTCAATTAGACTAAAAGTATTTTATATGGCATTTGTTTTTATATAATGTATACGTCATTAACTAGAACTGCTTTTTGAAATGACTTGAGTGGAAAGGCGAACAATTTAATGTGGTTGGTTCTATAAAAATTCGTTTAGTCAATCACAGAAACACATTTCTAGGGTTATAAAATATGAGCTAACTATAATAATGATACAGGTATCAAATGTTGAGGTTTTTCCAATAAAAAGTCACTAAAATTTTGAGGAAAAAACGAGTTTACTTAGAAAAATGAAGTTAAGATTTATCTTCTTTACTCTTTATCTGAGTAGTATACGCCATCGTCAAACTCCGAACAGCATGGAATTTTAACTGACCCTCTAAAGTTGTTTGTATCCGTATAATCGAGGAGAAAAATGTTGCACACCAAAAAATATCAAAAGGTGGAAAGGTCCAGTAGAAACCATCTTTCATCTGTTTCAGTTCGTTCCAAACAAGTGGAACATGGAAATCAAGAGAGGTGGAAGTATATCAATCAGAACGAGAATGATATGAATAAGGAAAACATTAGGTGTTTTAAACATATTGGAATATACGCTTGATTTGTAGCAGTATATTTTGAACTGCAAAATAAAATTTGATACATTAAAAAAAACGCTGACTAGCATTCTATATATTCGATTTATTACAAAGTCTGAAACTTTGTAATAAACGTAATTAACTTTCCAGTAAGAATGTCTTGTTAAAAATTCTGGCGAGATAGGAGAATATAATTCAAAAACTTCGCCCAAAACACATTAAGAAATAGTTTTCTTAAAGACAAAAATACCTCCTGATAAAAGACACCTCAATAAATATAGCTATTAGTCCGGTCACAGAGAATGAGACTACAGAGGTATACTGTCAGGAAATCTCTAAATAGCAGTTAAACGCCCTTTAAAATTTATATTAAAATAGATATAGAACTATGGATTAATTGTGACTTGAACATACAACCGTCAGAATAGCAGCATGTATTGACTTTCAAGTGACACCAACATGTGGTAGGAAGCTTGTAACAATAAATAATCATGCATGAATGACTACATCCTAAATTTTAAAAAATAGGGATAATTCCACACCTAATGGATTGCTAAGGGTTTCCTTATTAGTTGGTTCTGATCATTCCACATGAAATATGATGCATTTAAGTGGGGTTCAAAATAAACTGCCTATACATGATATGTTAGACAGAACTAAGTGACATAGACATAGTGACGCACGGATGAACTGCAGTTTTGACAGAATTCACGTGATAATTTAATACTGTAACTGTGAAAGCGAGTTTATAAAATGATCTGATTGTTGATAACCATTAAAGCGACTCTACTAGAATCTAGAGTACCGTAGTGTATTCTACGAATCTAATATCATTCATGGGTACATTATTCAGGCGTTACGTGACAAGCGTTTAAAATAGTGAAATCGATAAATAATGTGTAGAATATCAGAGTGAAGATTTTAGGAAAAGTATAGGTTCAATAGTTGTTTCTTTTATTCCTTCACGTTCCCAGTGGAACATAAGGCTTCAAGCTAGAAGTTTCTGTAGCAGTGTTTATTTTTACCGGATTGGGGCGCTAGCCACATGCCCAACCTTTCCTCTTTACCAGCTTTTATTTCTGGCTTAGCGAGGTAAAGGAGTGCGTCGGCCGGGAATAGAACCCCGAACCATGTGCATGGTCGGCGAGCGTCCTAACCGCTATGCCACCGACGCACAGGTTCCATAGTTAATTCTTGTAATTTTTTCCTGCATGTGACGTGATTTTTCTTTATAGATGAAAGAGATTTTGTAACAAACACAATTAGACCAGAGATTGAATTCATAATATGTGAAATAAACATGAATCTAAGTGAAAGGTAAAACGTGTTAGTAAACAAACAGACACACCCAAAGCAGTCATACGGTAAATATTAGAATTAAAATAATGCAGTAAACATTGGCATTCAGTTTCACCAACAACACCAATAAAACTTTAAATGGTGTGAAGTCAGCCTTTTTGGAATCAATGAAATTTGCTGATCCAGGTAAAGTAAATAGCTAAGAAGAAACATAATGTCAGGTATAGGAAAATTTCTTCAATAGCTATTAATCTGTTCATAAGCTAATTAAGGTGACTAGTTCCCACAGACCTGGAGTCTTCAAAGGTCATTTTCACTAAACTGATAGTTTCCATTCTGATGATTTGCAGTGATTTGTTCTTGAAGTTCTCCAGAGTTCACTGAAAGAACAATAAGCATTTCATTTTTCAAAAATAAAAAATTATAAACTTAACAAAGATATATCTTTCCGGAAATATATCTTTGCTGAGCCATTTGGTTTTTCTCTAAAAAATAAAAATAGAATAGAGACTTGAAAGAAATGTAGATAAGGTAGTATATGCAGACACAGGACACCAGAATCTAACTTATTTGCTGAATAGTAGTATTTGCATAGTAACATGAGTGTTGTTCACTCTGCCCCTAGTGGGGTTAAAGCCGAAGGGTATGATGCTCTATAGTTGTGGAAGAAAACTAAAACCATGAAATTCTATTTTTCTCCGAATTATTTAATTTATAAGTAAACAAACATTTACAGAGAACTATTCTATGATCAATTTTTTTCTCAGGCCTTTACCGATACACACATACCGATTGGTATTATAATTGGTCAACAGACAGAACCTCATGTTGGAAGAATAACATTTTTTGCTGTTGAAAAACGAGTAGAAGCTAATATTGTCTGTAAGTTGAGATAGCACGCTAACACGAACAATGATTTTCTAGATAAAAAGTTACTACAGTTAGAAGTCATGAAAATGCACCAAATTGGAATAAGGAAAGTAAGCGAAATTTATAGTACAAAAGAATGACTTGAAATTAAGGTGTTTTTAAAACCAGCCGATGAGCGTATGGAGATGAAACTAATGCGGTATATAGGATCCACGGGACCTTTGAGAAATAAAGATGATAATGGGGAATATCAATTTCATATATAAAAAAGAAACCAGATAACTGTATTTCGTTGTTTTATTTGATGAACTCCATAAAATAAATATTCTGTGTTAAAGGGAACTGTACAAAATGTCAGTCTTTTATTTACAAACTTCCAAGTGACAAATTATTCAGAGTTCATTTCAGAAACCATTGAAAGTCAAATGCATAAATCAAAATTGATGTAATTCTATACAGAGCTATGGACACTAAATAAAGGAGAATAAAAGAATCTTTCACCGGGAGTGCATAAAGTTACATGAATGTCCATTTCGACACCCTCCTTGTTGGAAAAACTTGCAGGGTTGACCATTTCTTATTCGAGAATTTCCACGAGGAAAAGATGGGGCACGAGAAGGAGGGCCGTTATAGGGTGGTATCGGATTTGGCGTAAAGTTAGGCAAAGGTGGACTTGGTGACGCAAAAGGGGGTCTGTTGGGATTACGATTTATAGGCCCATAACTAGGAGGGTTAGGAGGACACAACCTGGGACCATGGGGAGGGGGTGGGAAATCGGACCTGGGGACAGGATTGGAATAACGTGGAGGACAATTAAAAGGTGGACGGAAAGCCTGGTGAGGCGAAGGGGGGTCTATTGGGCAGTCAGGATACGGCATTGGTGCTCTCGGAGGACATGAACTGCGAAAGTGGAAGATACCTCGTGCCACCAGTTGATCTCTTAGTGGCTCAAGAAGATCGCGGATACGCTCAGCACTCAGTTCGTGAACATCAATATCTGGATAATTTTTTTCGAGGACTTCCCACAGCTCCTTTTGTAACATTTGGTCAATGGGAGGAGTGACATCAGTTCCACGGACAGACTCAGAGTTTGGACTGTCAACGTTTGATTGAGGCCCATTACGCATAAGATTTGGCTGTGAAGGAAATTCGGAGCAGCTTGTAGGATCTACACCATAATTACTTTGGGGAGGAATTTTCTGAGGCATATCTGATGGAGAACTGGTAAGATTAGCAGCTAAGGACTTCACCAAGTTAGCAACTTCAGGATTTAAAGATATCTGGAAAAGTAAAGGTGCATTAGAATAAATATAAATGAGTACTTTTTAATGTAATTGATACATCCAGACAAATTTAATAATAAGGAAACAGAAATATAAAATTACATGGTATACGTGAGAGTTGTGATACATTAAATTTTTGAAAGCTAATATCATTACCTTATTTTCCGTCTTCAATAATTATAGTAATTCGTAAATATATGCACATTTTCCTTCATACACAAGCGTAGACGTTATTAGCACTCTTCACTTTACGACGGGTTTTCAAAAATTTGAATAAAATAACGATAAAAGAGATGTGGCAACTTGCTTGAATCACTAGGCTACCTGAATTGCTATTCAACACAGTGCATCATATTTTTTTCTAATTCTTATTGTTTTAGTCATTCAAATTATGTTTCCAAGTCGTGTAGTGTACTCACACACACTTTTGATTGGATTTCAAGCTACCGATGCGTATTTCTCTTAGATGAAGGAAAATGTCTAGTCTATGCTTCAAAATCGAACAGCAACGTGTTACATGATGTATTATGTATATTGCTATTTTACTTGCATATCCTGGATGAAGAGAAAATACTATGCGAAAAACTACACTGAGAATTCTGTGCATCGTGTGACCGTTTTGTGCAGAATAAATCCATTATTATTGTATTAAAAAATTGTTTGATGTCAATGCTAGCTGTGATAATTTCACTTTAAACATTTTATCCCTCCGCTTTTATGGCATTTTCACCTCCGATTAGCTTAAGTAATTGATAGCATAAGAAAGCACATGAAGAAGAATTTTCCTTTGTCTCAATTAATGGAGACAACTAAAATCATAAATTGGATAGAGAGAATATGGTTATCTTACAATAAGCAAACTCAAAAGCAAGAACAGGGTCTCGAGAAACATAGCATTCAATCAAAACTGCAATTAACAGGTTCGCAGATATAGGTGGCTAATCCAGTCCACTTGGAAATATAAATTGACCGAGTGGATCATTTATGAAATACGACAACAATCGGGAACCAGGAATTAGTTTTCAAATGATCAAGTGAGACTCAAGGCTAAAAGACGCTATGACGAAAATCTCTCCTCGGAATTACAACTGAATAAAGGTCAAACAAAAAGGTGTAACAATTGCTGAATGTCCACGCAGTGACTGAAAGCACTACTTGACAGGACACAGACTTCCATCAACAGCTACCGTAGAGCTGACTCAATACTGAAAATCAAACTGCACACCAGAGAGGATAAGCAACAAGGAACTTTGGCTAAGAATCAACCAAGACCCTATAGCCCAACGCATATGCACAGGGAAGTAGATATGGGTTGAATATACACTGAGATGTTGAGTGAAATCAGACGTAAGACAGGTCGTCTAGTGAATCATGAAGAGCAGGCGATGGGTTGGGCGTGTCCGAGAATGATGTGAAGGAGAATAAAACTTGTGAGGACTCACGCAGCCAGTTGAAAACTATTGACACCACAAGAATCAATAGTAGGGGCACGCATATTTCACGTTGAACTTTATTTGCTATTTCTTTTTTTCTTTTATGTTGCATAGCTTTTATAACATTCAACAACTTTTTTTTACTTTTAAATTGGTGTGCAGATATAAAGAGTAGAGGCGTAGAACATAGCACAATAATGTTAAGTTCTAACGCTGATGTTGTCTACCTATCAGTGAAAGAACAGGATGGTACAGTTACGCCATTTTCCTCATTCAAAAAACACTGATAAATAAGGGAAAACTAACTAAGTAATCAGAAATGGGACAACAGTAACTATGATCACATGTTAGAAAATATAATTCATTGAACGCTGAAGCATGTTTTTTCAGCGCTGTTTGGAAAATTGCTTAGATGAATTATACGAAGTGATTTAAAATATCTTGCACTATTCTTTAACTTTCCTTATCTCTTAAAATTTATGAATGCTTCATGTTCGCATTGAGTTTCTCTCGTTGTCAATTGAAAATATTCATAAAAGCTAGTACGTCGTTAGTGTCTCTTCAGGTAACCAAAACAAAATGTGTTAGAAGATGGATACAGTTTGGCAGTAAGAAATAATCGCATAACTTAGATTTATACTGAAATCCATAGGAGGAAAGAATGGTAGAAATTGACTTAAGTTGACAGAAAATTAGAATTTAAACTCACTTGTGAATTCCCCACAGAATCTTTAACAAGTAACTTTTCTGAATTGATTTGTGCGTTTTTATCAACTGATTCATAAACAGTGAGCTGAAAAATAACGAATCGTGAATGAGTTTATTGTAATCAATTACATGATTAGTAAAAAATAATAAAGAAATCTTATAATTTTACATAGACATCTGCTTGTGCTTGGAAAGCTATGACAGTGATAGCTCAAATAGTAACGAGACGAAAGGCTAACTAATATATATATATATATATATATATATATAGCTAATTGTCTTCTGGTGTGTGGTTGAACTTAAACTTTATATATTTAAAATGATTATTGGGTTCATGTCTATCCGGTGATGGAAAGCTTTTCTGAAACTGCTCAATACGCTAGAAATCATCTCTTTCATATTATGTAGTTAAATCACATCATTAACAATGGGCCACTGTATTTATTCTTCTTCAACGAGAATGTAATACTTTACATGCAAGCTCAAGTCCGCTGGCCACTGTGATGAGTTAACTCTAAGAGTGGAAACTAATGAAAAACCCTATAGCAACCTTGAACGTTTTATAACATAAAATATTCAGATATAAATGGCCATCAATAGTGAATGAAATGATTTGTAGTAAGATATACTACAAAGAATAGGATGAAAACTTCAGTTCTACCTTGACAACAAATATGTGACCTTTTCTAAAAGAAATTAGTGCCAGTAAATGTTACGTTAACCAACTTACATCATCCAATGGTATTTGAAGTGGAGGAACATGCTCCACGATCTCCGTATCAGGTTCTTCAGGACTTTGTGGGATGCTTTCGCGGGTGAAATAAATTGCTTGAAGAACACAACGTTCTCGTTCCAACTGTATTTGACGTTCAATAGATTTACAACCTGGTTCAACCAAGAAGATCGTTTCCAATGGATAAGGTGAATACCACTGAAATGGAAAGTTTATATCAAGAAACCAAATTAAAATTGATAAAACTAAAACGTTTTGCATCAGCATATTCGTCTAAGTATACTAAGCACTTAGAAACGACATCACAAGTAACAAATGTCAGAAGGTATACCCCGAAGTTCTCCATAGCCGGCATTTTACTAACTATAAAATGAAATGACATAAGGAAGGGTGGATTATTTTAGTCTACCGCCTGCAACGTAATTTTGAACTTGGCTGTCATACACATAGCAGAACACCTGACGAGTCGAAAACAGGAACATTACGTTCCAATGCCAATCGTTTGGCCACAATCGATCACATGTCAATGAAACGGCTTCCTTCCAAAAGACGTTTCCAGCAGTTTACATTCACAAGTAAACGAATCTAACTGATAAACACAGTGGAGTCTGGAAGCAAGATGTATTAACACCCAGAAATTAATTCTCAAAAGGTAGTGATATCTTAAACTTGAGGAAATCAGTTTCATGAACAGCGGAAAACACGTTGATCTACTCATACATATTAAAATATAAATGTAGATTTCTCCGTGAACCCACATCAGTCAGTGAGCCACTGATATACCCAACCAGTAGCTGATACCTTATCGCGGTGACCTGGTTTGCGTTTAATAATAACCCAACGACCTGCACTGGCTGGAATGAACGTTCCTGCTAGTCAAAACCCAAAAAGCAATTACCGTCAAACTAAGTTATTCACACTAAATTATGAATCATCTCATAGTGAAGCCGAACTGACAGCCGATCGGGTGTAACACCAGTAAGGTGTTTCCTTTCAGAAGATGAGCAAGCCAACTATGCTGTATTTCCTCTATGATGAGAACAAACAGGAAACTGTCGTCCACAAAAACCGCACATCACAAATTATTGCACAGCTGTATATCCTCTCAAAGTTGTCGCCTAGGCTTTGCAGTCACACAACATCAAACCTTTTACTCTTTCGACCGTTTTGGGAAGTTATCCACTTCAACGGATTGGAAGGTCGAGAAGTATCCGCTGCCCAAACAATCCTATTAGTACATGAATTTTATCTAGGAGCATCAACGACTGATTGAGCAATCCGACACCTGTGGCAATTATAACCAGCCAAAACCCGTCCGAAATCGTGAGGGAAGTAACACAACATGGTACACATATAAAAAATTATGGTAAGATGACGATGATACAAACTAGATAATGAGGTCATTAGTAATACAGGTATGTGCACGAGCCAATATAACTCAGGACACTCGGACAGGCCAAACTAATTTCTCCCAGTTGATCAATTCGATATTATTTTTGACCATTGAATCTCGAGGGAAACATAGGTCCTCAACGGCACAGTCCCATTCCACAAGACTCTGCCATCAATTTCAACTTCACATCTGCCCACAAGTTTTCACTTTTTCTACATGATCTCCATGTCACTCTCAAACACACACCTAATCCATCACTAAAAAATTGTGTCCCACTCAATGACCTGCTTTATTTATGATGTCACTCAACTGTCTGCATTGTATATGTCCAACGTCTCTCCATTTCTTTCCATATAGTTCCTGGGCGATTGACTCTCGCTTTCTCCGTTGCCAGACTTCCTCATTTTTTTCCGTCCATCTGATCTCTGATATAGAACGATACGAATGAAAGTCTGCAGTCGGTTGGAAATACTTTTGTGGACTCAGACGCCAAGTGTTTAAACCATATGAAAGGAGTGACTTGACACTACTGTCCGAAATTCAGACCGTGATCCCTGCGTTAGATATTGTCGATCTCCACACTGATCTGAGGGTAATGAACGTCTGTATTGTTTTCTTGAACCGATCTTGGCTGGCTTAGACACTCATCCTTGTCGCCTACTGAAGTCGAAAAGACGCTGTTCAAGTCAGGTAATTGAGAAAGGATTTCGTTTAGAATCTTCCCGTTGTTGATGATTGGTGTTTACTGAAGTCATACCTACGCTGCCATTTCTGTCAACTTGTTAGAATTCGCCTTCAGATTTTCGCGTTTCTGGGCTACTAGATATAAGTTATCCACCAAGTCGAGATCTTCCAGAGCCTCTTGAAGTTCTCCGTCTTTTCACTGCCACAGGCCTATTGCATGATTTAGTTCATACGAATAAAAGAGCTCATCGACGATAGTAGACAGCTTCCTTTACTTGTAATACCTCCCTTTGGTTCCGTCGTGAATTACTCGGCATGTGGCACCACAATATAACTTTTCAATGACGTTTTCAAAATTTCGCGGGACTGCGATCTGTAGTGTGGGAAGTTTCCAAATTACTTGACGATCGACGCTATCATGGGTCTCTGCAAAGTCGATGATGTTGAGATATAGAGTTAAGCGCCACTCTATGTTCTGCTCGATGATAGCACGTGATGTCGCAATTTGCTCCACGCATAACTTGCACTTTCAGAATCCAGACTGTTCCTGGCAGTTTTCCATCCAGGGCATCCTTTAGTACTTCAAGGGCGATTCGGTGTAACATTCTGCTTAAGGCAAACGGGAGCATATTTATGTGCCGTCTCTTCAATAGGCTTAAGTCTTGCTTCTTCGGCAGCAGTCTTCTCATTGCTCAGTGGTTATCTTTCCTTCCTTCTACACCTCGGTATGTTCACAGTGGTCTCCGGATTCCTTTCTAGTGATTCTAGGCGTATTCCATCTAACCCTCCTGACTGCCATCATGATCGACCGAGATTCCAACGGAAAACAGTGAGCAAAAAACGCACCAGTTTAAGTGACCACAATGCCTGTCACACAAAAGCAAAGACAACAATTCCAATGAAGGGAAATATACATGACAAAGAATAAGCACGTGAAGAATAATAAGAATCTGATGAAGCTAAGTGTGAGTGGAACCTAGCCGTCGAACATGATTTAGGGACAACAGTCCCATGTCTTGATTTAACCACTACTAACTCTCTCCAAATTTAATCCTACATTAGCTATCATTGCTCGACGAGCAAGGCGTAGAGGCATGTCATACGCAACGTATGAACTAGCTGTCTCATTCGAGACAGCTTTACAACTTCATCTAATGATTATCCCTCCTTACCCAGCATTACAACTAAACTCAGTCATACCATATTATGCCAATTAACACGGGAAGAACGAAAAAACCTATAGTTAAAGAAAGCTAGCCTTATCATACCTTCCCTCCTTAACAGCCATGTTCTACAGCTACACAGAAGAATGTATATGAAGTCTCCTTCATAGATGACGTAAGTGATCACGTGCCTCTTATATCCGTACTGAGATTTTGTCAGCACTTGGTCCATTAGGGCAGACATGACTTCCCGAATAAGTGGAGTGGTCGATATGCCAAGCCATTTCACCCCTTATGCTTAAACATGGGGTTGGTGTAGACCAGTCAAGAAGCATCACCTTACATCTGGCAGGGGCGAACCACATTCGAAACAAACTGCAATTTTTGCTCGAGGTCTTCATTAGGCCCTGGACTTCGCCAGTGGTTTCACCTCATCTGCACACTCCAAACCGACGAGAATGCTCCCAAGTCACAAGTTAATCCTTGACTCCTCAAATTCAATTGCAGTCATATCCACTAGTACGTCTACGATAAAGTTGAACAAATACAGAGACATCGGGCATTTGCGAAGAATACCACTGACCACCACTTCTCGTGAAGACTCATACGGCTGCGTGAGGTCGAGTAAGAAACCCTGATTAGTGCGAAAGCACCTTCATTCCAAGAAATTACGAAAAAAGACTCCGTCGATAGAGCTATCAGACCAAACTTGTCAAGTGTTCGACGTAGATGAGCATGCCTACATTCCTGAGTCTGTCAAAAGACGGATACAATCAGTACATCCCAGTACGGGACTAAAGCCTGCCTGATTTTCACTGGCCTTTCTCCCGAGCACTGCCTAGTCTACCCATGAATATTAAATCTGGAACTTAAGATATCAAGCTAGTCACCCATGTCTATCACGAGAAGGCTTCTCCTTTTATAAACCTGGATAATGGTTTACACCAGCCCAGTGGGATTATCTTAGGTCCCCACACATCACCTGATATCATCAGTGATCCCAGACATTATTTACCCACCACTATCCCTGAGCACCTCTGAAGCCACTACACCAAGTCTCGCTACTTTGCGTCATTTCAGATTAGGAACATTCTTCGTTGACATAATTACAGTTAGAGAACCGATGTCTATATATTAATGAGGTGAGTATTGGATGCTGGATGAACTCAAAGTGGATCTAGGCCAATTAGATTGGTCTTCCCCAACCGAATATGGAGGGTAGAAAGTGCGACGCGCTTCCTGACAGTTGACTTCACAATTATCTCAAAGGTTTGATAAATGTAACATTTCTATTTTCAATCAGTTGAAAGTTACACCAAACCCGTGATCCCATTGCAGTCATACCACAGTGATCACACGCACTTTGTTGTCCACCGATGCACATGACGGTTAAACAAACGTAGCGGGCCTCACCCGACTGCTTCATAGAGTTATTTCCATCAATATGTCCTCCAGAGTTTAAGCGGATTTCGTTTCGCTCACTGAAAGTCTGTGGGAGTACGACTATAATTAATTCATGCTAGTGACAATCTGACAACTACTAAACACGAGTACCTACATAAACCAAAGTCGTAAAATTATCCTACATCATACGCGATCCCCTCTACCCTGCGAATCAGCTCAGAAGTACAGTGTCGTAATCGATCATGGTGACAAGACGCCGTGCTTGCGAGACAATAAGAGGTAAGTAAGATTGTACTGGAGTAGTGACGAAGTTTAGTACATTTCATCATTCGCTGTGATTATTCTCAACACTAAGTTTATTTGTTGCATTTTGGTTGAATCTCAGTAGACAAGGAGCATGTAAACTAGGTAAATGAAAATAATTGCTACTCTTGCATATACTTTGCAGGGCGGAAGATACCACGATCGAGTATAGAATCGTATTACCTACATCTGATCAGCTGAATTTACGGTCTCAGGACATCACGGATCAGAAGGTCATCGCTTGAAATAGCGAGACATTAGGTAAGTATGTATCCAACGTGGTCTTCACACACTGAAATATCCGAGAATTATAATAGCAGGAAGGTCGCTGTTTCAGAAAATCAGCTTGATCTGTATAACTCTTTCACCCACTGTGGCTATATGAAGAAGTCGGTTATTCATTAAAATGATTTATTTAGATAATACAAATATGTACAATAATTCGAAATATCAGAAATAAACATCGAAGTTAAAACCTAGCAATTCATGAGATTTCAAAATGAAAGACTTTATCGAATAATAATTCCTAAACTTATCAAAAATATTATATCAATGAACCTAAGATATTAAACCTTAAAATGCTTGTAAACACCAGTGGCTTCAGAGAATCAAAGCCATCATAGCCTTGAGCTTCACTGAATTCAACTTACCTTTTGAGAAAAAACCTCTGAGTCTTCATAAGATCGTTTGAAAAGCTGACGTTCCATGGAATGCTCCCTTCGACGAATGTCCTCAATAGACACACGATTTACATTTACTATACAAAATGTGATGTACACAGTGATGAATTAGAATCAAGAAAATATAAGTTGCACGCAAACACATGCGTCCAAAATGTTACATCAATTTACCTCTTTCTGATTCATCTAGTTCAAAATAATGAAATGTCTGCAGTTTGTCTTCATCAGCCCAAGAAACACGTTTTTTCGGCTTATTGTCTGCTGGAAATGCTGAATATAAATTAGATAATGAGGATTTTCTTGACTCCATTCCTTTAGATGAAGCTGGGGAGGATTCACCTACACAGCTTTGATCCGATATTTCCATGGAGCTTTCGTCTTTGTTCTACCGAGTGTTAATGTAACATAAAAAGAACATACTATAGAGAGGTCGGTCTGTACAACTGGTTCTATTCTTGTGGAAATCTTTCTTTTCTTGCGCACGACTGGACAGGGTGTTGTTGTTAATGCATTTATGAAATCTGAACTTTCATGCAACTCTACAAGTTTATTTAATGTCGAAGAAATATTTGATAAACCTTTTCGCGGTTCAGTTGGAGTAACAGTTATCTTCTGATGAAAGGACTCAATCGGAAGTTCCGAGGTAAGGTTACTACTTTGATCAATTTTGCTAAAAACAATAAGACTTTATCATATTCACATACCTCTTCTTAGCAAGTATATCTGACCTAGACTTCGGTTGCCCTTGGGCAGTACTATCCTCTATCCCTGCAGTTCGCATATTATTAGGCGGGATTTTGACGGTTGTGCGACGTCTCTTCTCATCTTTTGTTGTCTCATTCGTATGAGCCTCCTTGTTCAAACTCTTAGTTTCATGTTCAAGTTTCTTTCTTTTCACATGGGTAGCTGAAAAAACTTATAGCAAAACATCACTGGACCTACATTCCAACCGGCGGGAATCAGAGCTGATTACTTCTTTCCATTTCTTAACGATGATACTAGCCACAGCTTTCACTCCTACATGATGAGAACATATTATACAATATATTTTACCTTCGTGGTCGCAACGTTTTGTAAGCGAGTTTATAAGTTTAGGACAAACATTTTGTGTTAGTTGCTCTAATCGGACAGGCAAAAGTGAATACACGTTTAAAAGTTCCAAAAGGAATGCATAATTGTCCTCCTTGAGGGCTTCTTGAAGCCATTTAAGTAGAATGTCCCATGCACCATCTTTACACAACTGCAATTGAATTTCAGGTGTCGAAGAAGCAATAATGCGCAATGAAATGCACTTCGGAACTAGTTTGCGATTGGCAGAAGACATCAACTCCACCAACGCAGAGACTGATTGTTGCATGATTCCACCTGAGTCTGTCAGATGCTCCCGGTAGGCTTCAAGTAATCTCGTAGGTTCCATGACTGCCTAGAAATACAAAGACAAAAAATTCTCGCGGTGATAAACGCTTAAAAAAATATTCTGACCCTAGTATCATCGACTTACACCCGCCTGCACCCCAAGTGTTTTGTGATACATTCAAATACACAGAGATGTATGTGCATATCACAACTTCCGATAGTAGGCAACAGAAATCGGCAAGCCAGGCAATGTCACATTACAGTAGCGGATAATGCGGAAGTTAGTTCACTGTGACAGAGAAGAATATATACATACACGGCCCCTTATATAAATACAGTCATTATGAACAAGGAAGACTTGATAACTTGTGACATGCGCATCTACTGTGGTACGCATGATTCAAGGAAGTGTAACAACATTGCAGTAGCATGGATCTGTGCAAAGACACAAGGAAGCTCACACATTCACTTCTCTCCTCACATTAACAGATTGGATAAAGGAAATATGTTCACTACACTTCAAGTTATCTGCCTGCTGAAGTGAATATAATGTCCATATTTCATAGCTAATCACAAACGTACCACGAAATCACACTTGGTTCTAGTGTCTCAGATGCTACATTCATACTATTTGACTACCATATGACTCTGCAGTAGACTGACAATTGATGAAGCCTAAATGTGCACAGAGCATGCAGTAGCCCATAACGAAATACCACTATTTCCTGAAGGACTTCATTTGTAAGGGATGAGTTTTGATTCTCAACATTGGGGCTGATACTTGTGTGACGCAACAGAGTGAAGACTTAACCCTAATAGATATAGGGACCGTTCCATCCAACAGTCTGAGTTATCACATCTACTCACGTGCTATATGCCTAAGATGGAGCGTCTAAATCGGCCGGAACCAGTATATGCGGACCCTAAAAGCTTACGGCCACCTTCATATAAGGCTGGCAATTGGATAGTTATTCAGATCTCACATTAGTTAAATGTGTTTGATATAACACAGAGTGACACACTTATAACAACTAGATAAAATTCTGAGATAAATTTGTTGCTCATAAACATATCAATTTTGTCATACGATATCATAATTTGCTTTAAATATTTTTCTCTACTCCTTGTTTGCTGCAACTCTCCATATCCCAGGCATAGACTTCGCTTAACTTCGATTGCGCTTATGCATTGTTGAATCTGTTGACAAAGATTCAGTGATAAACCTTTTTTCCCACTTATCGTATTCCTTTTTAATAGTTTCCCCTGTTTCACCATATTGTGACTAAATGCAAGTGAATGCAATACAATGTCCGAGACTTTTTCTAGCTTATCTAACTCAGCGGGGTCAGTCATTCTAAGTTTAGCTAAATTTTTATGTGATTATGGGCCACAAATTGATATTGGAACTCTGTTCATTTGTTAACAGTGTATCGCTGTGTTATTTCAAACAAACCTGTCGAATTTGGAATTATATTCTACCACAATGCTGAAGTTCTACACTTACAACTATCTAGAATTTAAGAATTAACCAAAGACAGGTTAGTGCGAAACGCTGGTTCCATCCTTGCAGAAACATTTCTTGTCTTGTGCACAATATATCAGTGTTTTGTGTTGATATCCGCGCCAGCGATGTAGACTTCGCCAGAGAGCAGTTCACAAAGGAAATCAACCATGAATCTTTGAAATGATTGTTCAGTATTCTGACAAAGCAGTGGCATCCAAATGTTTCACATATTCCGGATGCGGTAGTGTCATTCTCAATCGACCAAATGCTATGATAGGCGTGGACATTCGTAAATATCCCACGGCCACAGAAACAATCAGTTAAGACAAGAATGTGGGCTAACGTGTAACTAGGCGACAAGGATTCTTTACTAAGGACTCTGTAATCATCACAAGGGCACCAGTAGGTTTGATTTTTCTTAGACAGTCTGTTCATCGGTGAAACCCACTCACCATTGAATACTCCCCAACTAAGCACCTAGTGGAATCCCACCCTCGAGATTTCTGTCAAGAGATGCATTGGTGACTTGGTATTGCATTTCTTCTCTAATGACACACAATCAGGTCACTGGGAGTCATATGCCAACTCCAATAATACAAACACCCATGGAGGATAAACTTCACTTTCCATATCTGGCCTTCTTGAGAAATAAAACTGGAATGCTTTTGGTGGATATGAGGGTGATTATGTGTGGTGTTAGGACATCTGAAGCCAAGCCTCACAATTGGCATATCAGTGTTCGAACCCGCAATGCACTAACAGATATTTAGTCACCTAGATCAGTATGTGTCATTCGAACAAACATATCAAGCTATGGGCCGTGAACAATGTTGACCTAGTACGAACGTCCACTTCTTAATGTCTTCTGTTCAATACTATTTGAGCACCAGTTGTGTAACACAAAAGTACCGGTCAACGGTGATCACCCTCATTTTTCAAAATGAGTAGTCTGTGATAGCATTTCACCTTTTAGCATTACATGCCTAAATATAACTTTTTGTCCCCTCTTGTTTCAGCTTACAACCCATGCTTCTCTACTCAGTGCATTCTATTTGTACCGAACTCTTAAACTTTGATTTATTAAATAGGTTCATCAAATGTGGTGAAAAAAGACTGAAGAGAATAAGGCATCCCACTATCAGCAACCGAACGAAACATCCTATGGAAACCTAAAGTCATCCATAACAGGATGGTAGGCGCATTACGTTTCTGACACAACACGTGAATAATCATCGTCTCAGCTGGCGATGTGTATATTTCATATAAAGCCTTCTGACTGCTCTCTTCTTCACCTCTAAGATTTGTGGCAGAGAATATAAACAACCACAGTATTTTGCGTTCTCAGTTGAAATCAGTCTTCAGAACTACTTCGGAGTGACCAGGTTTCCATGGATGATACTGATAAGTATTGACTGTTGTCGTCTTAAAATTTACAGTAATGACACAAAGCGAAACCTCTAAAAATGTTTGTTATATAAACACTACGACATAAAGAGACCTTTCAATAAAAAATGAAGGTGAAAAACCCAAAAAAGAAACACAACGAAGTACAAATTTCTTAAATATACAGTGATAGAAAAATATTATTGATATAGTTAGTCATACAAGGAAAATATTCAGCTTCTTGAAGCTCACACACGATGTGACACCCACAACAACCACTCGTCATGGACGGGATGAATCCAGCCATATTCAGTGGCCGAGGTGAACACTGGGTAGAATTAAAAGCTGAAAAAAAGTTTTAGCGAACTCAATTGGGAATCAATTTTGAATAAACTGGTTGAAATCAAGTTATCACTAAACACATTTAAATCAAACATAACAAAGTACAATACAATAAAACATCTTACGTCCCCTGCTACTTCTACACACAAGGCATCTTAGCTACAGGCTCCGAACTGTTCAGTCATGGGTTACAAGTCAAACTTCTAACGTTCCAATGTTTTAAACGCAGAGGCTTTATGTACTAATACATTGTTAATCTGGGCGCTTAACATCTATATACGATGCGTGGTAAGCATTTAGAAAGAATTCAGTGAAACGTATCACACTTTGGTTTATTATCAAAGTCAAGACGACAAAGGAATACATGCTTCATGTCAACTAGGTGCTAAATTAGGGTTTCGACAACAGCCACTTCCGATAAATTCTATTTTCTTGAAACAGATTTTAGAGTAATATTTTTTATCAGATTGTAAACAATAATTCCGAAACACTTCGAAAAACAAACTTATAGGTGCAATCACCGCCAAATATAACAGAAGAGAAGCTAAGTAGATGTGTCTAAGGAACATGTGAAATCAGAGTCGTCATTAGTTATCACACAGCAGCAGATTATCCGCAATTATAAGCGCATATGAGAAAAAGTCACCCCGAAGTATACGGCGGGACGTAAGAGCAATTAACAAGCATAATACAGTCATACAAGAGTAAACTGCATTGATTCTCTGGATATGAAATTGCATGCTAACCTAACCTTTCACGGACAAGATGTATTTGAAGTGTAACAAGATGTGAATCAGTGATGCCCAGGGCCATTTTGCTAAGCACTACATAGTGGGGCGACTGATGGGAACGTCAAGCTAATAACTAGGATTGTCAAAAACGCCAGCAGTATCTAAGACACTGTACAGTGAATGAAAATGGATGCTACTTGTCTACCAACTGGGTACTGTAAGTTAATAGCCTAAATATTTGAGGTTATAACTCAAAAGTGAGAGCGACCACGGCACATCCGACGAAACTAAATATTTAGGTAGTAATAATACATCGTCAATACAAATCCATGGAAAAACTTTTGTCGTGAAAATGTCACCCATATCTTGTGTCGCCTCAGACACATTGCAAGTCGATACAGCTAATCAATTTTTACAAAAACTTCATTCCCGTCAAAACGTCTTAACCAAGACAACATTGCATTCATTTCGAACCAACAAACTATTAATACCAGTACTAACAATTACACGTAAAGCACTCAGTTACCAAGATCAGCAAATTGAAAAATGGAGACAGGATACTTTAAGACTGCTTCACAGGACTACTTTAAATGTGACAAAAAAATCCATCTCGGTAACAGGCAAAACAATGACTGGGATGTGCGAACAGGCAGCGTGCACTCATATATACAACTTACCCCCACTACCAACCACAAAGTTATTGCTTTCAGAATCTAGACTGAATGATAACATAGATGTATGGTATTCTAAGTTATGAGGTGTTGAGAAATTAAGTTGCGATAATCCAACTACCCTCCTCAGAATCAGACCTGCATGATCTTGCGGAAATCTGTCATTTAGAGAAACCAATAAGTGTCTTTAAGAAATGTCCCACGGCACCTTTACCTGGTTATTTCACAGTGAAGAGCCCGTCCCACCCCAACTTTCCAGGGACTGATATAACCTTATGTGAACAGAGTGACAGACTTTATGTCCTCAGAAGTACATTGGGTGCGAGCTGCAGGACTGATTGGGGCTTATTCCTGGCTTAAGTATATAAAATATTCGTACGTGAAAACCACTTAAGTGTGAGATAGTCTACAGCTGTATCTCCGTCGCACCACCTATGTCGAGTGAAAAATGCAAATCAGTGGAGATCATACGTAAAATTAAGCGGAAGTATAAAAACCAGTTTGCGAGTTCGCTTTGACTGGGACATGTGATACAAAGGGGTGGTTCTACACTAATTCGTTGGTCTATCTGTTGGTGAATATTACGAAGTAGCGATATCCAATATACAGGACAACCTAAGGGTAAAAAACGACCGCCCGTGCGTATCTTCGCACACCAATCGCAGCAGTTACCTACTTTGAAGTTTGTGTTTTATCCCACACTACAGAGCTACACACAATGTGAAGCGTACACTACATAAGTGACCAGAAGCAGAAACCCAACAAATGCAATTGGAATATCGTGTCACACATCTACCAATCGACAAATAACGCACAGAGCTGTTAGGACAGTAATCGAGCTGCTTCCCTTTGTGATATTAAAGCAGGGGTGAAAAGTGACCAGCTTAACATTCACTGAAGAAGAGCCTAACCAGCAGTCGGGTAAACTATGGAAACAACAGTCAGTAACCAGATATCATATGCAGACTGATGGAACCACACAAATTTAGAGACAATGTCATAATACTACACATTATCAAGCAATCACTGCAATAACAAAATATACAACTATATAGACAAATTGAAAACTTGTTGGCCCATGCAAAATATGGTAACTGACACTTAAATGCGCAACGTCATATTTAGTCTACATAAACGTGCTGCTTGTTGAAAATAAGCCAAGAAATCGCCAACGAACCACACAACCACTGGTTGTTTAATAGTCTTTTGGAAACTGATTTATGCTATATATTACTCCCGGGAATACCAGACTTCCCAACATCTGTACGCGGTTGATCTCAGCTCAGTTTCGAGGGCACTACCAACTCTAAAGCAAGCTGAAAAGTAATAGCACGCTTATTCGACTTTATCTTTCGGGGGAAGGAATGAGTTTACTTGCCCCCACAGACCAGACCTAGATTTCACAAGTGGTGGATGTAACCGGTTGTATGGCGTGGCTATGTTAAACACCAGAATCAGACCCATCAGTGTACAAAAACCCTTGCAGATATTCGGCATCTCAAAAAAACTTGTGCTTCTATTCGCCGAAAATTAGCTAGCCACTAGCGGTTACAGTACTCATCCACATGTGCAATCTCGGATTAGGTTTTGAAGTATCACCGTCAAAAACTGAGATGGTTTCAAGTCACCCCATCTACTTTTAGAAAGCTGGATACCATTCAGTCTTCATGATACATGTGTCTCAAATTCGCTTACGCGCGATTGGTGCTTAACAATCCTCCGAAATGAGAGCATCATTAAGTAAAAATTGATGCCCATATCTATCCTCGCCATTCTTAAGTACACATGTACCTCTCATCTACTTTTGAAAGTTCCATGAGTAGTGACCTGTTACTGACGGAAGGCACCATACCTGTGCTGAGTATTCAGCGCACCCCTAGGGGACGTAAAACTACAGTTACCTACTGAAGTCCACCATGCCAGGTAATCATAGTACTAATTACCAAAGTCAACCAAGACGACTGCTTGTAACAGCCTTGTGTTGAAACGCTACTACACTAACAATCACTACGTCTTACGACAAAGTTATACTTCACTGACACGGCCACCAGCAATTTTAGTTAGGGAGTATTAGTCTCAGTTAATATGTCAAAAATGTGATATACATATACAGCTACAAGTAATATTGACATAATCGTTGCTGTTTATGTGAGCTACAATAACCAGCGGGAATGCACTAGTGCCATTATAATCGGTGACTGTCCTAATGAGAAGACTTCAGCTTAACGCGACTTCTAACTTTTATACGTCTTAAATAAGCTCTATGCCGCTTACCCTGTCCATATATTCTCCACAGCAACCCAGATGACAACAAAGGAACCAAAGTAGTCGGACCAGTTCAGCAGTAGATGACAACGAAACTGAAAGCCAAGACGTCAGCAACACCTACTAAAACAACTGCTTTCCCCCGTCTTTCAATTATCAATGTGAAAGAAAACCTTCGTGAATATCTGCTTGCGTATGATTATACCTTCATCTTTATTCATTCAATGCACTATAATAATTATATAAATATATGTATCACATTAGCTGACATTCAAGTGCTCATATCATGAAGAACTAGTTGCATAACTTAGCGATAATTTTAAGATGAATGCACCCAGAAAAACACAGTTTTGCTGGCCATATGTGGTACAACCTTAACGTTTAACAGTGTGAATGTGTGAATCTTTTGCTCACCAGTCTTTTAGTAAGCTTTTTTCATATATTTCCTAGTTTAAACCTACTCTTAATAGTGAAGACATCTGAATTATTATTATTGTATCCCTTAATTCCTAGAGAAACATAGGGCTTCAGCCATGCGTCTCCATTGAGTTCGGTTCTCTGCTAGATTCTTCACCTGGATCCATGTCTTCCCACACGTTTTCATCTCCTCTTTACATGACCTCCTCCAAGTCACCCTTGGACGACCAACCAACAAGACGTCTGAATAAAAAAGTAGAATTATTACAAGATAATGTCCAGTGTTTTTCAGGTTAAAGCTGACTTGCCGGGAACTATTTCTGCGGAAGCTCATTTCTCAGTAACCACAAATGCGTAGATACCTGATCCTGTGGGGAAAATCTCGGATTTTGGTATGATGAATAGGGAAGTGTTTTAGCCTAATTAACATAAAGCACGAGCACAACATACACAGGAGCTGATGTTTTCAGTTGAGTTTTTACATTAACAAATAGGTGCAAGAACTCGCGCTTCACCCCTTTCTACCACAACGTATAATGTTAAACAGCGAGAAGTAATAAACGGACTCTTAAGTTTTGATAGTAAGAATAAGAAAATAAACATATCACCAGGGCCGTACACACTAAAAGGTGGGAGGGTGGTGATTGCTAATCAACGGATGTGATGATGGGGACATATGAGAACCACCCTTATCTGCGGCACAACGCTTTGTTGCTAAGGCTCTTGAGTTTGAATAACTTCAGCAAAATAGATAAATAACTAAATAGAAACTGAAATCGAAAATTGCCTAAAAGCCAGAGTTTAATTGATATAAGAATAAAACTTGTGCACTGTGGTAGAGTGTAATTCCATTATGGGTAAATTTTATTTTGATAGAGTCTCACAGTGTTATACAGTAATATTTACTGATGACGTTTCGAGCACAATTTATTGCTCATAATCATATCAAGGTAATCACACGACTTCCTAAATTCATTTATATAGTTCCATTATTTTTCACTTGATTTCCACTTGATTTGATTGGTAGTGTTATTTTCCATATTTCGGGTATTAGTGATGATTCATTCCTATTGCACGTCTTGGGTGTAGATTCGATGAACAAAGATTCAGTAATCAACCTCTCTCTCCACCTACCTAGATTACTTTTTAGAATTTTAACCCTCTCCCACCCTATTGTGTGGTTGTGTGTTAATGCATGCATTGCAATTGCCGAGCTTTTTTCTAAATTACTTATCTTTTCTGGGTCAACCATTCTTATCTTAGCTAAATTCTTATGTTCTGACAATCTGACTATTCCTGAACTACTAGTTTGACCTATGTAGTTGACCTGACAGTCATTGCAGGGTATTTTGTAAATTATATTATTTTGTCTAATTGGGTCCACTGGGTCCTTTAACCTACAGAGCTTGTCCCTGAGTGAGTTTGTAGGTTTAAATGCCACCCTAATTCCTGCTTTATTTAGAATCCTACGTAGGGTCTCAGATGTCCCCTCTTTATATGGTATAACTGTCGATGACTTATATTCTCTCTTATTTATGTTATCATTACTAGTTCCACAATTATTTTTATTTTTATTTTGTTTCTGGCCTTTAGTTATCTTCCTAATGAATTTTAAAGGATAATTATTCAACACCAACGCTTCTTCTATCTGTTTTATTTCGTCGTTTAGGTCTTTTTTGTGCTACTTAGTGCTCGGTTTGTTAGACACTTAACTAAGCCTGCCTTAACAGTTAACGGATGCGACGAATTAAAATCTAAATATCTATTAGAATGCGTTGGTTTTCTATACACACTAGTGTGAAGTTTACCTTCTTCTATTCGTTTTATTTTGCAATCTAGCATAGCCAACTCTCCTTGTTCATCTTCCGATTCAAATGTGAATTTTATCCCCTCTACTAGTGAGTTAATATGTGTCAAGAAGCTAGAGATATGTTCTGTTTTTAACACTGTGAAAGTGTCATCCACATATCTCCACCATATTTTTGGAGTAGGATTAAACGTATTAAGTGCCATATTTTCCCAGCTATCCATAAATATATCTGCTAAGATAGGGGATATTGGTGATCCCATTGCTACACCTTCAGTTTGTCTACATATTTTGCCTTGGAATCTAAAGATAGTAGATGTGAGGCATAGCTGAACCCCTAAAATAATTTCTTCAATGGCCAGAGTTTAAATATAAACTCCCTGAATGCAAGTACATGGTATGAGTTAGCTTTTTCAGAAGGATACCTAATTGTATATATCAGAGAAACAGTAGATTTTATTAAGCCCTCTATTTTCCTTTGTGCATTTCACGCACTTCGACCTATGGATTTCACTCCTTATTCAGGAGATATACTTACCGTTGTGGTGAGAGCTGGTTGCGAGCCAAAATTGTAGACAAAAATTCGCGTCAATATTTACGCCCCGGATCATGGCCATGAGAAAAACACTAAGAAAGCTCAACCTTGAGAAAATCATCAGCCAATCGCGGCGGAGTTAATGTTGGAAATATGATTCGCAGATATATGGCTTGATTTTCTGAGTAACGTTCACAAAGCAATACAGTATAACCTTCATCAGGAAAACAACCAGTCAGAGGACGTTGCTTCTCTGCCAACAATAACGTTAATAATAATGCACATAAAAATCTATAAATGCCTCTTGATTTTCTCAATAAACGATCCATTGCCTGGCCCTTGTCTTCTGTCGTTACACCATCACCCTATAAAAGTGGGTAGAGTTACCACTTTTTTCACTTAAACTAATCGTTAGCGGAAAAGATTGTGGAATTACATTACTAAAATCTATCGGTGAAACAAAACAAAGAACCCTGTGTTTGTTGTATACTTAGAATTACTAACACTTATTACATACTTCTGCACCTCTCTTGCGGTTTTCTCGTGTCTTCTTCTCTTTTCAAAGGTACTGCCTTCAACAAAGGCATTAATACAGTGATGCCATCCTCTACGTTAGTGTTACTCAAATGGAGCGTTGGGACCACTAGAACCTACACTTTTAGAGTTATTCAGAATATTGCTGGAACACCTGGTTAGTTACGGAACCACCTTCGTCATCAAATCTGTTGACAGGTTAAAAGCTGGTTTCATATATGTATATATATAATTGCGAACGTCACAATTATGGAATACTTATCGGTGACTTTGAAATTGTACAGACTTTCGAACACTTCATGAATCATTCGCTGATAATTGTTGTTCATTTCGCATTTCTTATGTTTCACTTAAGCACTTATATCAAAATGCAACTGACTTTCGTGACACAGAACAGCAGCAGCACGGGTACTAACGGTACTCGTGAAGCTGGTATGGGCTGCTTAATCTGTGCACATGTAGCACAGTTGCGGCAGAATTCAGCGATGTTGTGATGAAGGAGCTGTAACCAAAAGCGCTGCCGGACAGTGTGTTCGGTTTTTCGTTGACCAGCATGACCAAGTTGGTGTTGCACGAGGTGAGGAAGATGGTTCCACTATATACAAGACATCATCAATCTGTCGTAACACATCCCACTTACCACAGATGCGTAGTGTTTTTTCGGACAAATTCTGTAATTACTTGTTTGACGGTTTATCATTCCCATGAAGCTGTCGCAAGTAGACAGGTTGCATATCTGCAAGGGCCGCCTGCAGTGACGCCCAATCAACATCTATGCCTGTATTAAGTATAGCATTTACTGTTGAAACACAATTCGGCAATCAAGAGGGCGTCGGCGTTGGAATGTTGGGAACCTGGGCGATACTCGCAGATGAAATTGAATTCTTTCTCCAACAAGCCACCTGGCTTTCTGGTTCACGGAATGTCTGAACTCATTGTAGTGCACTGTGATCAGTTTGTACCTGAAGGAGATAATGTCCAAGGAGATAATGTCGGAAGTGTTTGAAGAAATTCACGAGGGCAAGCTTCTCCCTTCGTGTAGCCGAATACCGTGTTCCACGCTTGTCTAGCTTTTGACTGGCATATGCAATAACGCACTCTCGACCATCAATTGCTACTTGTGTAATGACAGCCCCTAAAGCACTGGACCGACCGATGGTGACGTGTCTGTAAATGCAAGGATAGGAGTTGACTTCAAGTTCTTCATTAACTCACCAAACGCATGTTGACCCTCGTTAGTTCATAAAAATTCACGGCCTTTCTCTGTCAATCAATGCAGAGGCGAGGCAAGGGTGGCGAAATCAAGGACGAGGCGTCAATGGTATGATGCCAGCCCTTGGAAACTACGAACTTCTTTAAAAGCCTGGGGTATCAGTCACTCTGCGATAAGACGGGTTTTCCGGGTCTGTTTGGATGCCCCTTGGTGAGATACAGTGGCCCAAAAGAGTGACTTCTCTTTGAAGAAAGGAGCAGTTAGAAGCTTCCAACTTCAAATCGTTTGTTCTTAATCTCGTAAGGACAGCATGTAGGTCTTCAATATGATCCGCTGGGGACCTCCCATATATAATAATATCGTCAAGATAGACTAGACACTTATGCGGGACCAACCTGTCAAGGACTACCTGCATCAAGCGTTGGAATTTGGCAGGAGCATAATATGGTCCGAAGGACGTTGTTTGGAATTCGTATAGACCACTCGGGAGTATAAGTGCAGTCTTAGGGCAGTCGTTTGGGTGTACTTCTACTTGTTACTACCCGATCTAAAGTGGAGAACCATTGAGAGCCAGCAAGGGCATCGAGAGTTGCATCAATGCGTGGAATGGGTAAAGAGTCACGTCTGGTCACGGCATTCAGTTTG